GATGAAGCGCAGACGAGAAGGAATATGACAAAAATTCGCACTTTTAGGGGAAGGAAACAAGGTCTCAGCAAACATATTGACCGATGCCATCGATCAGCCAGACACCACTAAAGCCAGTAGGTGTGGATCAGAAAAGCTTCAGAGCGAGGCACATCTCAATGAATCGGCTCGCCGTCCGAGAGGGGATAGAAATAAGACAAGTCCGAGCTTTCCTGAGCCTCGCCTTCTTGTCATTGTTATGGCAATAATTGTCTGACCCCACGGGGGATAACAGGGGAAAATAAATAACGGTTTGACCAACTGGAAATAACGTTTTAAAAATAATGTTTTCTCATTTCCGCAGTGGCTGGCAGGAGAGCGGCACCGCGGCGGAATACTGACAGGTCAATTACTCCCGGGCTGCCTCTCCCTCACCTCGCCTGCATCCAAAATGGCACGTGTCACCCTGTAAATCTGTGCTCATCCCTCAGCGCGATTGGCCACGCCGGCCCCCAGTGATCCAGAAGGCCCTGGCACGGTGGAAGATGAATGGGACCAGTGATGAACCCAACACCTCGGCCCGATTAGAAACAATCTACCAAGGGAGCATCTGATCAACCATAACGCTTACGGCTCTCCGACGCTGCATTACATCCAGGTGACAGAGCGCTGGATCGTTGCGGGGCAGCAATCACAGACAATGTCATTCAAAGTTAATGCTATGAATGATTTAACAGCTTATTATCATGCATATTTGTGCTAAACAATATACATTTTTCATTAGAGGCCCCCAGAGGCCGTCCTAATAGAGCCATTAGCGGAGTGATGTATTGCAGGGAGGAATGTGACCCCCGTCTCTCTCACGTACACTCAGTGCCGTGCTGCACGATGATGGAAAACAAACATAACATTTCTAGCTAATGTAAGGCAGTAGGTGGTGTGAGGAGACCTGTGGTCCTTCCCCAGAGATATCCATCAAAATGGATATTACACAAACTGACTTGCTCCCCCCCCTAAATAAGCATTCTTTTGAATAAAATACGGTCATTCTTAGTGACTTCTTGGACAACAATTCAGTGGGAATCACATGGCAACCAGAGTTAATTTATCAGCTCTGACATGACTGTCCAGATGGAGAGTGAGAGTATGTGTGAAAGAGGAGGAGGGAGACTAGAAAGATGGACGTAGCTTTGGAGAGCAGAGCGTACAGTAACCTTGCATCCATCTGGACCTGCTCAGGGGATTCTCTAATGGTATTAGCTAATGGACAACCTAGGTTTTAATCACCCTCTGATCAAGACTTCTCTATCCATCTAGCAGCAATTCCTAGCAGTCCCCCGGTCTCTGAGGAGCCTAGAGCTGCGTGTTTGATGGCGTATCAGCGATGACCAGGCGGAGCCGGCGGGCTTCTAACAGAAATAGAAAGTGGTCGAGCTCTCTGAGGGACAGGGAAGGCAGATAGAGAAGAAGCAGGGAGCGTTATCGGCATGGGTCATAGCTGGGACACGCAGGTCCCAGAGGCCTTCTGCAGAGGTGGTGTAGTGGCATGAATGTGTTTTCTACATAAGCGCGTCGGTGTTTGGGACGGCTGTAACGTGATGGCAGTTCCACCACAGCAGTGTGTGCGCACTGGCTGGCTGCAGGAGATACGGCCCCTCTGAGAAAGGGAAAATAAATAGGCCTGTCACACGGACAGGATGTGAACTGTCTCCCGTACACGCAGGCCCAAATATGCTGTGGCACGATAGGCTTTGTCTACAACAAACCGAGTCCGCATTTGTCTCTCTGTGCTAGTGTAACCACACATAACGAGTGTGCGTTTTTTCGGATCGCATCAAAAATGAGATTCCAGTTATTGGAAGTGAAGCTTGAAGCAGCGCTTTTGGACGCATTTCTGTTTAGGCAAAAGTCAAAATAGTAAATGTATTCAAACACGGACTTTTGTGCATTTGTTTGTGTGTGCCACACTACTCTGTGGCCTTGTCACAGTCTGTATGAATCAAGCTCTGGGCGACAGATCATCTTCGCAGGAGGAAGTGTGTGCTGCGTCCAATCACAGCTCAGGCCTGTGGCTGCCGGGTGATGGATTAGAAGAAGTTTGGCACTAACACCACCAATCATAGGAAGAAAAAGAAAAGCACAGCAGGAAGGTCAGCTGGACAGGCACAAACATGCAAGCGTTCGCACATATACCCTCGACTCCCAGTGTCGGTGTGATATTATGACAAAAAACAACAACATAAAAACAGCCTGCAGGGTCACGTGTCACATGTCAGCCCACATTTGTAAGGGACTCTCGACTGTTGTTTCGCTGCCGACACAATCTACAAAATGCTCTGCATGTTAAGCGGTTTCATACCTTCTTCGGTCGTCCGTGCCGTTCTGGATTCACCGTCCATGCCTTGAAACTCGTTGAAGTAAGGGCGGACCTTGATCTCATACACGATGCCCTTTTTGAGCGCAGAGAGGACGGCGCTGCGTTCAGAAGGGACTTTCACATCCTGGGTCTGCCAGGGTCCTGGCGAAGGCAGTCCCGATGTCTGCCTGTAGAGAACTCTGTAACCCTGGATGAACTGGGACTGACGATCCACCTGCGAAAGGTAATCAAGTCGAGGTTACTGTTGTGTTCCAGTGCAAAGCTGCAGAGCGGAGGTTGGTAGATGCTTACTCAGTGCCCGCCACTAGACAACATAAAAGGATGTTTTTTGGCAATGCATTCCTTCCTCACAAGATTGGATTGATGACACTTTAGAGGCTGTTCCTGGTTTAATGGGCCGTTTATCACAAGCTATGACACACTCTGCCAATTATCACCATGACATTACCTCATACGCACAGCCACTAGCCCAAAGGGTTCCCGCCTCCATTAAAAAGACTTTCCGTAATGCCCCCTAAAAGGACACATGCATGTCTCCTATCTATTATTAATTCTAACAAGTGACACCCGGAAACAGGCCAGCCCACCTACGAGATTGGCTGTGGGTATGAAAGTGTCATGCAGCAACTCATGGAGACACGCTGGGGACATGGGTGAGAACACACAGCAGAGGCGATAACAGCAGATCTGTCCCATAGAAAAAGACGAAGAGAAGGAGCCCTCACTTAAACTTGGACCCATTTGGCTCGACTGAAAGTACTGAATTTATGCAGAGTAGGAGCGGATGCATAACTCACTGTAATGGCTTGTTAACAGTAGAAGAAGTGAGCAGGGCTTCCAAGTGGGATATTAAGCAGCTGTTTTTCGCAAGTGTAGCAAGAGTAAATCAGCAAAATGGATCCCCTGCTTGGTGCGTGACTTTTATTAATAGAATTCTCCGGGTATATAAAAGCTTTCTAAGAGGGGCCCCTTTGTTTACTGAAAGGGCCCCTGATTGATTGGGTGGCCGTGTTTTGTGTTTATTGTACATTCCAATCATAAAACACTGTTTTTGAATTAAAGTCTGCGGGTGAGACTTATTACTGGGGTCAATAAACGTGTCACCGGGAAAACTGCTAATGCGGCCCATTTGAAGATGGAAAAGGGCCACTAAGTGACAGATATACTGTAAATACCGGCACCTGATTGATTCAGAGCTCCACAGTCAAAATAAACATCCACATAGCAATATTGTACAACCACCTCAACTTGAGATATTATTTGAGCCATTTTTCCTCATTAGCGCTACAATTAAATGAATAAACAAACAGAATATGTTTTTACATTTTTCACATTGAATGAAATTGACTAATTTTAGGACAAATGGAACATACCCACGGTGGAAGAACAGGTGTGCTTGTATAAATGAGTGATAAAGAAGATGAATACATTCTCTTGTGACAGTAAGTAAGCAGGAAAAATTGTATTTACAAAGTGCAGTTCAACCACAAACATTCGTTTGAATCTAATTCCATCTGTCTCTCTGTTTTAAGAGGGAAGCGGCTGAAAATATACGGAAGATTGATACACAACCAGATGTCTCTGACATCTCTTTTGATAGTAAAGAGAAACATATTTCAGCTATTTGATGTTCTTTTACTTTTAAGTCATCAATTCCGGTATTTCAAAGCAGCAGCAAAAGTCCCTGACATAAAACAAATGGTAGCCTCGAGGTGCTGCTTTTAGGCTTCAAAGAAGGATCGTAGAATACCAACTATTCTGACTCAAAGACCCAAATGTGGAGAGAGAATGCAAGGAAAACCACACACAAAACGGACAATTATATTTGTCTTTGAGTGAAAAGCCTCCAGCTGAACAGATGGAAATGATGTGCTAATGGAAGGTGTAGTGATATATTTGTATTCCGCGTGCAAAAACGACAAGCTGCACTTACTGTCCACGTGACCTGAATTGTTGTAGGACTCAGGACAACTGGCGCGTGCAACCGAACCATGACCTCACCGAGCTCCTTCTGTACGTGCCTGTGGTCGACACCCTGGGCTGGAGGACTTATGTCTATGAGAAAGAAAGAAGAAGAATAAATACAATGAGAAAATGTTGCCCACTCCCCAACACTTGATTTTAACAGTTTCACAGCTTCATCGCCGTCAGAAGTGAAATGGTAGAAGTGAATAGACCAATTGACTTCAACATGGAAACATACAATGGGGGATCATGGATTCATTTTTTCATTCACTGGCAACTTCATTTGCATTAAAATGGCCTCATTCAATCTATTAAGGCTCCTTTATGGTCTGAAGACAAGAAAAAAGAGATTTAAATGTGGGACTTGTTTTCACTTACTGGGGCCCGAGCAACCACATCAACAAATGAACCCTGAATGAGTGACCTGAGACGTATTGGATGGGAGATGGACATGATGATACTATTTTCCAGCTCATTTCACATTTTGCAGATACACATATTTCGAGTTACCAGCAAAAGAAAAAACTCCGGTGCATGAGATATTGTGTCAGGTTAAGGCGAGCCCCAGTTATTTACTGGAGGCAAAAAAATAAATGAAATTTATGAAGAAAAATCCTTCAGACAATCCAACATGGTCATGAATCATAGACCACATTAACGGGGCGAGCCAAGCAAAATACCCTGTTTTTTATTAAGGTGAAAAATCAATTTGTCATTAATTTTTGTCATTGTTAATAAATGTGTCTCTCTATCATCTCTAGACCTTCTTGAGAGAGATATTGCAATTCAAATTGACCACTTTTTTTTTTTTTAAACCAGCTCTTGGCTTGCCTTTGACAGAGCTTGGCCAAAGGTTGCTTTTCTTCTCCATTTGTTTTTTTTGTGCTACAGACTTTGAGGCTGTGGTCTAACCACCACCGTAATCACATCTTATTTGCGTTTTGGAGGCAGTTATTTTTATTTTCTTTCCTATAGTCATTAACATAGCATTGATAGCACTAACTCGGTTAAGCCCTCCAAAAGTAGACAAGCTTATTTTACATACTTTGCTTAAAGTGTAGTCTTAACGAGCTGCGCTAAGATGGAGAACTTGACCTCCGGGAAGTTCTGTACTGATTCAGTACAGCTATTTACTGCTGATTGCGGAGAGGGTATGATAAGCATCACACTTTGAAGGGGATCGCAGTGACCTTACCCTATCAGTAGAAACGCAAATTATAATGAGGAAAAAACGGAAAACCACACCAGTGGAAGTAATTATGACACATTGAGATAAAAAATACACATGTATTCGATAAATAATGTCCGTATAATGAAATCCTTTCTTAGCAATGATGTGGCATGTACCTTGTGTTCTGACAGGATCAGACATGGGGCTTGGATCACTCAGGCCTTGGCTGTTGACTGCTCGGACCATGAACAGGTAGATGGTATTGGGACGGAGACCTTTGACGGTAAACTGGGTGGTTTTTACATGATCGGCTACCGTTTGCCAGCTGTTGCTCACGGATTGACTGCAATGGAAGATACAAAGGCAGTTTAATCTGAACTATTCCTCTTACTCACTATTAACTAGGGAGGGTGTCAATGTTTCTGGGGAAGCTGACCTGAATGCTTCAATGACGAATGAGGAGACAGGTGATGCTCCAGCCACCCCGGGCTGCCAGGACAAGGACACGCTGTTCTTGCTGACATCTGTGACCTGAGGTTTAGACGGTGAGCCTGGAAGCTCATTCTCATCGTGGTTCTTCGTGACCGTTGCTCCACCGCCTTCTGAGAGAGGAAAAGGAGACAGGAGAAAGAAAATGCAAAAACTGACTGACGAGTTGATTATATTCGTTTGTAGATAAAAGACATTACACCATCTTTGTACCTTTGACTTCCAAGAATGCACTCCAGGATGTCTCTCCGCTGGAGCTGGTAGCCACACATGTATAGATGCCAGAGTCTGAAAGCTGGTATAAAATACACACATACATGGATAAATTAATAGAAAACAAACACAAAAATTCGCACATTCTGAGAGCAGTCGCAATGACTGCATATATGGTATCTTGCCTTTGCTGAAACAATAAAAAACGATGGGACGACTTCATGGGCCCGCCTTGTGCTGGCGGAATTGTGTGTCATTTGTGAGTGCCTCAAAGTGCTGACGCTAATTTCCTAATGAATTCCATTTTCTACTCACCACCCTTCCATCACTTTCCCAGTCCCCCTTTCTTATAACCCCACTGTCCTGCCGACCACAACAAAGGCAGGCTAATCAATTTAGGGTGGGCTGCTGGAACCCCCTGGACCGATGACAGCTGGCTTGTCTCTCCATCCCTCTTAAGAACTTTGTTGTTTGTTGGTTTTTGTCCCTGTGCCTTCCTTCCATTTATTAAATAACATGTCAGCGGTCGGCAGCTTTGTCACACGTAATAGATATTCCACAGAGGCCTCAGAGTGGGGAGAGGAAGATGTGAGCTTTTTTAAATTTAATCCACTCTGAATGTGTATGCGTGCACACATGTGGGTGTATGTCAGTAAGTGCAGACATGTTTCCATGTTACAGCTGGAGTCCATCCAACCCTGCAGAGCTGAGCACGGTTTGAGCTGCCATTCTACGAAGTGATACTATAAAGCAAGAAAAATAAATCAATGCTGCCTATTCTCTGCTTTAAGACATTAGGGTATCTTAAGTTATGCTTAAGCCACGTCCCACTGATTTTTACAAAAACGTGTATCCTTCAGCAGGCATTCTCTTAGAAATGCATATAACTGTAAAATCATAGGACCAATGAAATATTTTACCTTGACGTTTTTTATCTGCAGGCTGCCAAGCCCCTGCAGGGACATACGGGCGTCCTTCCCCAGCAGACTGACCCCGTCCTTCCGCCAGCTGATGGAGGGGATGGGGTCTCCAGATGCCTGGCACTTCAATAGTGCCACACTTTCCACACCTAGTGTCTGATTGGATGGGCCTTGGCGAATGATGGGTGGCGGCCTGTCAGTGAGCACTGCGATACAAAAAGAGAAATATGTTATTATACCTTCCTGAGGAAATCTGTGTTCTCATAAGGGGTCTGGCTGTAAAATAAACGCAGCGACAGCATTCATCGTAAAATGCTTAAGCGCTTATTTTGCTTTGCAGGGTCTGTAAATGCACCACAGAACAATGAACACATCCTGTCTTTGCAGGAAGAAGGGAAATAACAGCTGCTTAGTGTTTTCCAGTTGCGTTGATGTGGGAAGAGGCCGCTAAGCAGTTTGCCGTTACTGACTTAGTCGCTTTATTTTTATACACTACTCTAGACTCTGTGGTAGAGTCTTGCCTTCTGACTCTGACTGGGTTTCAGATAAATACTTCTTCGTGTGAAGTGCGGCCGCAATGAAAGGCGCATTTCATATATTACAAGTTACTGAATGAGTTGCAAACACATTGAGGGACTGTACCTAAATATCATTTTTTTTCTTTTTATTCAGATGGATGCTAATATCGTGATAAATTCCATTCACATGCGCAAATTCATTTGTTATAATATGACAAAAAAAAGCCTTTGGGTTCCTTCAATGAAATAGTGTGAATGTCAGAGGTGATCCCAGAGAGAGTTAGCACCGTAGCACACAGGCAGTTTATATATTTAGAGTTGAATAATGTGGAGTCCCCCTGGCTTCACAGAAGCCACATTAATTAGAAGGTATGGATTAATGATGTCAGACCTGCAGGGGCTAATTACCGAGTCTACCTCTGTAACCTTTCAACACATTATCACACCCTCGCTTCCACCCCTATTTCCACTCCAGCAAATACATCTGACAAAAGGAAGTGCTTCCAAGTAATACACTTCTGCTGTCACCCCTCGCTTTGGGGCACGTAGGACAGAAAGAGAAAAAACAAGCACAAACCAGACATTATGTTACCATGAGCCAAATCAAATGTCATATTTGACTTCTCTGGATTGCTTTTAGCACAACTAAAACAAAATAATCTGGTGATAAAAGTGATGTTGAAAATACGTGGTGCTAGATAAGGACTCACTATACGGTCATGTAGTGTTCTGTCTGCCATTGCCTTTGCCTAAAGATTCATATCAACACTAGAGAAAATTGCATTCATCTTTGAAAATATATATTTTCAGGTGATTTTTAAGTGGATGTCTATCAAGACAGTTTGAATGCCCCTATATGTGTTGATGTAGTGTGGGAGTGACAGAGGGAGGAGGCGAGGCTCAACTCAGGCCTTGGGTCTCTGGATCAGGAATTTCTCATTACAGATCTCCTTGAACGCCACAGACTGTTGTCTGAGCTCAGGGCAGTAAATCACTGGAGGACCGCAGCAGGTGTGGCCACGACCTGACCGTGACCTGGCCCTTCAGCACTCTTTGCTCTTATCCTTCCTTTTCATTTAGATCCGTCTAATAAATACTTGTAAACAACAACAACTAATGAAATGAATTACTGTTAATACGTATTCCCCTGTAGAAATGTCTTATTCCAGTCCAGGTAAGGACATGACCATTTTGTACTTGCAATAGAAGCATTCCTATTGCAAACCAAATGTTGAAGACAGTGTTCCTGTAGTGCTTTTATCTCCCTGCCGGCAGGGAAGATGGTGGCCGTCCATCTTGCCATCACAACAGCTGAGCGGATTAGATGCTTCCATGTAATTCATTCCCCAGAAAACCATTGTCACTCACTCAATCATGTCCCCTTCTATTTCTCTGCGTCTCTTTCACTGGCTTCCTCCCACACGCACGTACATACATACTTGCACCTCACCCACTCGCCTAAAACGCTGATCATTAAACTTGAACAAACTCAAGGGCAATGCTTTATTTTCTTTCCAAAAGGAGGAAGTGGAAAATGTTAATTAAATCGTGTCAGGAAAAAATGAAACATAATGCAAAAGCACAGTAACTGAAGGTCATGGCCATATTGACATTTTTCAAACCGAAGCCGAATATATTCCTGCAACAGCAACGCGCTTGCATGCCTGCGGTGGACTTTCACAAGTGTTGAAAGCCAGCTTCCCACGAAAAATGTGGCAAACTAAAACCAAATATCTTTTGCCAGTAGGCCTACAAATCTTTTTTTTCTGTTGTTAATGGGCAAACGTCTAAATGCATGTAGGGGACAATAAAACAAGCATTTTAAAAAGTGCATCTGCGTTGAAATGCACCAAACTCTCTCTAACACATTTGCAGTGGTGCAGAGGTGTGTGTTAGTGTACTGGCATGGAAGAAATTGCACGTTGGTTTTCCCTCACCATCTGTGACTTCCAGTTGAGCCTTGGCAAGGATGCTGCCTGCAACGGTCAGGGCCTGGCAGATATAGTAACCAGCATCTGCCCGCTGCACAGATGAGATGGTGAGGTCTCCGCTGGGTGACACCGAGAAGCGACTGCTGGGCTGCTGAGGTTGGTTGGGAAATAGCAAATTCTGCAGGAAGACGTAGAAACAGGCAATTAGTGAGAACATGGGGCGAGTATGGCCCTGGAGCACACACGCACACGCACACACACACACACACACACACACACACACACACACACACAACACATTACACACGCATAAACTACCCAACATGTATAAAGTTTGATGACTAGGTTTCAGGCTTAGTCTTCTGCCAAGCCAGAGGCTCCACTGAGTTATGAAGGCGGTTGCTCTTGTTGGCTTCATGACTGCTTTCCTTTGTGCTTCAATGCCACAGCAGCTGGAAAGCGCTCATTCACCCACAGAGACCGTCCCATACAAATTGAGCTCAGGTATCTTTACATTTACAGCTAAAAACAAAGGGGTTATTGATCCCACATATCTCAGAGTAAGATGAACAAGATAACTATCACCTCGACTTCATTATTTACTGGCTTGTTTCATACTTTATCCCAGCTATTGTGTATGATCTGCAAACACATTGACTAGATTTAATTACACGTAATCCCTTCAATGCAACACATTACGTTGCTTAGTTTTAATTAGCCTCTACGCAGATCCAGCACTTGAGCTATGCACACTCCATTATCCTCAAGCGTGAGGCATAAGGCCGTTATGCTATTTAATTACTCAACTGAATTAACTTTAATTTGTACTCTAAACAAATACCATCTCACCTTTTATATATCTGTGTGAGTGGGTCACTGAAAGCCTTCATTAAAACTAAGACAGAAATAACCGCAGGTGAAAAGGTGCGTGTACTAGCAAGTGATTTCTGGTACATTCATTTCAAAAGTCTCATCTTTAATGACAATGAGAAACACGCACAGGACATGAATCTGATCTATGTGAACAAGTTCACAACGTGACGCGTTACTGAGTCATAAGCTTTGGGTCACACATTGGTAAGGGATAACGTTACAAATGTTTGAGGACATGTTAGCATATGTCTCACTTCTGTTCACTATTTTAAAATAACTGTGCTGTAATTGTTGGCCTGCGGGCTATGTATGTATGTGTGTATGTGTGTGTTTGTGTGTGTGTGTGTGTGTGTGTGTGTTTGAACCTTAGCCAGTGCTGAATCATATCTCTGGCTCATCTACAAGCCCCAACAGGCTTCTAATTGGAACTGTTGTTGAGCGTGGTGAGGACACCCAGGTATTTGAATGGGTTATCTGCTTGAATCGTAGGATCGTTCTTATCAGTGCAGGGTCACAGAAAACCGATTAGCACTTCGCCAGGCACGCTGTCATTTGGCGGCTCCTGAGAACAAAAGTGTATCTGTGTCTGTAGTAAAGATACTGATGTCAGATTCTGTAGTTTGCAGGTGAGTGTGTGTGTGTGTGTGTGTGTTCAGGGCAGGAGACGCTTAAGTACTCAGCAATCCACAAGACACACAGTAGATAACGAATGCTGCCGGCTAGCGTTGCAATATGTATTGACATAGTGTGAAAAAGCCTTTAAAGAAGATGTTTTCAACCAACTGGTTGTGTGATTCTTTGCCCTTACCTGACTTCCCTCCCTCTGCCAGAAAACAGCAGGCAGAGGATTTCCTTTAGTTTCACACGGGAAGGTAGCGGTTCGGCCTTGAGACACAATTTGGTCCCTCGGGCGGATGACAAACTGGGGCGCAGCTGAAGTCAAAGGGCAGAAACATCAGCGTTAGTAGAGCATTGGTGCAGAGGGCCAAACACTGGAGATTATTAGGGCTTGGGGAACAAGCACTACACCACATGGTCAAAAGGGGAGTGGCGTACAGAGCTTCCATGCAGCGTTTGTCAGTCTTTCGCTCGCTAATGGCTCTGAACCGAGGGGGGACACCAATGACAATCATGACCATAATTGCCATGGTAACCAGATTGGCCATTCATCCAGGTAAAGCTGAGGCTGGATGAATGACAGTCACATTGGCATTCACACAGGGAGGCGCCTCAGCCAAGATGGCATTTAGATCTGAGACAACACAAAGGCACAGCCATGCCCTGGAAACATCAAACACTACGAGCAGTTATGTACATTAATGGGTTAATCATGTCCGACTTTCCATATGTAAGGTTAGTCCGCATCAGTATGCATGTCATGGAAAAGTCAAGATCCGTCCATCAAAGGAAGAAGAAGCTCGAAAAGCTATCAGACTTTGAATTCGTAGTGTGAAGTTTTCACAGTTCATTTTCCATGACTCCATCAGGAGCCACAGCAGTTGTCACGCACTGCTGTCTGGATAGAGTGAGAATTGTCAATAATAAAGAGAGATGAGTTTTAAGATTATATTAAATTAGGTTATTTTTGGTGTCACTTCTCTTTGCTTCCTGCCCATTCTCTGCAAGGTAGGTCAGGGATGCATGGATTCATCAGTCCTCTCTCACATATTCACCTGTTTAAGACATGACTTGTCCACTGACCACTAATATGCGCAGGCTTTTAAATCCTGTGTGGATAGCTGGGATAATACCATATAGTTTCCTTTTTTAATACTCGAATGCTTCATGACAAATAAATGTTATCATTAGAACAAATACATATATTTTCTCCGCAAAACACAAAAACTTGCATTTGAATGACATATTTTTCATCCTTTGGTCCATAGCTTTAACTACCTGTTACCTGGAATCACATTTGCCACAGTGTCTTTATGCTCATTCTAAATACAATATCTATCTAAAACTAAATGTCTGAGCATGACCTGAGTTCATTTGCTGGATGACCCAACTTGTTTATTCACTGGGTGTTTTAGTTCCATGTTTGCCAAGATAAAAGATCATCACGCTCCTTACAGAAGGAATCATGGTTCAGATAACCAAAGTCAACAAAGAACCTGACTAAATGCAAACAAAGAACAGCGGAGACTGTTGTAAAAGTCTGTAACAATAGAACATTCTGAATTCCAATTCAACATGTTGCACCCTTTCTGTATCTTTTGCTTTCTTTGTAAGTCTTTTCGATGACAGGCCATCTGGTTCCAGCGAGGCCAAACTCTTCCTATTTGGCTGGTTACTCCTTGTAATCCCGTTTTGGGGGTGTGTGTTTGTCCAAGACACACATAGTTGGGAATGCTACAGATGGCTACAGATTTACTGCCTTCCCGTTTGGCCTTCTGCAGCTTGGATATCATGTGGCTCTCACAATGCTGGGCTCGATACAGAGATCCTAAATCATGCTCTGGCAAGGAGTCAGTTTTCCCTCCCTCTACTTCCTCTGCTTTGTTCCATCCCACACACGGCATTTGCTAACAACTCACTAAAAAAAATCTATAGTTTAACACGTTACAGACTTGTTCCTATCACAGCTGCGCCCGACTTTGTGCTTTTTCACATCCTCCCCTTCGGTACCTCCTTCTTGCCCATTTTCATAAACTGTTGATGCCCAGACAATCCCTTTAATTCATACAAGATACTTTACTAAACTGATGATACTGCCAAACAGAATCAAGCTGTGTAAATGCTTTTGAGGTTAATAATTGGCTTTCGCTTGAATTTTTTGAAGCTAGATGTCAAAAGCAAAAATCAAAGTCAGACATGGCTAGATTCCACCAGACTTAGTAGAATAAAACATATCTTGATGAATCAGCAGAAACTTGGCATAGTCCCTCTTTTTGTAACTGTTATACCCAGATTAAGTATGTTTCCCACTGTCGCCAGGTCAAACATCCACCGGATTTATCAGAGCTCTAGTTGTGGCTAGTTAACTTTTAGGCTTGAGATGACTCTTTGTCACAACTTGCGTCACAACTCACATCTCCTTTTTTCATATTTTTCAAATTACTTTGGAAAAGGAATACGATGCTGGGGATGGGGATGGACCTTAAAAATTTAGGGAAGCCCGCAGAGAAGAACAGATCAAACACTGACAAATCAAGAGGAATTCAGTGTGAGAGAGCTTCTTGGCTCAGGGCAACTCACACTGGCCCTGTTTTTGATTTAGAGACCCTTAATGACACGTCAGAGGCTCCTTCCTGTCACCTCCTGAGGAAGCACACGATCAGTCGCCCATATTTAATTCATAAAAAGCTACATCTGCCTGGTTTGGAGATGACTCCGCATTAAAACAGCAGTCAGGGCGAAAGAAACGAATGGACAAGGAGAGATACAGCCATTGACTGCACCCGGCCACACAAACTAAGAAGCATTGCTTCCTCCTTTAAAATCCCCTTTTCAATCATATTTTATTCAGAAGTCAACGGCAATTACCGTCTCTTCCCACAGGCAGAGTGAATGTGTAATTTCCTCCATCTTCCTGAAAGCTGACATTTTGACAATCCCAGAACAGCCACTGCTGTTTTGGCAACCAGTCCTGCCGACAGTGTGTGTGTGTGTGTGTGTGTCTCGACAAACACTTTCCTCTCCCTTCTTTGTCCCAGCGCATGTTTCCTGTTGCAGATGCAGATTCCCATTTACACTCACCTCCTTCAAAGTTTCAACATCTTAAGTGTATCATGTTGGATTCGGCCTTGACTCTCCCCCAATCCATAGGGGAAATACAATAAGATCCCCAGCTCAGTGTCATGGGGGCTCAGAAGCAGAGAAGCTCATCCAAACCAAACAGATCTCAGCTTTGTGTTCCAAAAATCCACAGATGGCTTCAAGAATTGCAAGTTAAACACGTCCTGGACCATATGAGAGGAAAACGTCTGACACTTCAGACTGCCAGCCCACCCAGTCGTTGAAAAGGGACGGATCTAGAATCCATAGAACCCACAGTTTAGTGACACCGGCTGGTAATGGGAACCAGTTTAGTTAGTGTGCTTGATACATCTGTGCTGCAGAATGGTGTTGAAATCCACCTATTTTAATAAAAAATACCTACACATAACCTACAAATAAGAATTAGCAAAACAGTGATTTTGTATATTTTGTGGTTGTTGATTACGCTGGAAAATTTTAAACACTAAATAAAGTTTTATATATCCTAAAAACGCTTCCAAATCATGTTGATGTTGATATGAGAAACATATGGATACTCAACTGGAGCGTTGACTGTATTCTGTCAAGTTGCTGCAAAGAAATAAGTCCAGTCGTCTACATTGATTAGGCTGGGTACTCCTCACATCCAAATAAAATACCGATATGGTGTCATAGGCGATTAGTGTTTTAGTAATCCAGCTGTAAAATCTCCACAAACTACAAAAATATTTGCAAACAATAATCCAAAGGGTGCACAATGTGTGAGGTCACACCTGTGTTAGTTAAATGCAGTAGTGGATGAAGCGATGGGTAATTGATTGCCAAGCAGTAATGCAGTAATGCGTATGGTGGGGCCATGCAGGATGGAATCAAATCAGAAGGATGGGTACTTACCGACAGGGCGAGCTGGAGACACGACAATGGAGGGGTGGATACGCGAAAGGAGCAAATCAAAGACACGGACGCACATGGAACAAGACAAGACGAACAAAACAGACGCATAATAAAATAAGACAGAAAGAAATCAAAGTCAGAATGAATGACATGTTGTGTTGGGGCAGATTTCTGGTACAGGGTTTAGCATGGCGGAGATGATCCAGTAGACTTTGTCTATTGTCCCTGGACAGTTTGACTGATAAATTCAAAGCCTTGGTTTTTCTGACACAGAACGTTAGAGTCAGCCTGGTATGAGCGCCCCCCGGTGCTCAAACATCTGCTAATGCATTTAAACACCTGCGGGGAGGGGGGGGGGCATTCCACCCAAGAGAGGCTAACACACTACTGGACCTTTGCTGTCTGCACAAATTAAACATAGAATTCTCAGGATGGTGTGTTTGAAATAGCAAGGCGAAGGTGTGCTGATGGAAGGAGCAGAACAAAGAAAGCAAGGGTGGCAGAGTGTGTCGACGCGGCACTTGGAAATGTAAATAATTCAACACATCCATGGACTGTACCTCTGACGGTGAGGGTGGCAGTGGCCTCCAGCTTCCCCACCCGGTTCTCCGCCACACAGGTGAAGGCACCCTCGTCGTTGATGGAAGCCTTCTTCACCCTCAGCACATAATCGTCCTTGTCGTACTTGATCTCGTATCTGTCAAAAAAAAAAGACGCGCCGTGTCATGAAGTTTAAAGTTGCCTGCGCAGCATTCAATGCAGATGCGGTTAATTCAGACGAAACCTCGACACTGTGACTAATGAGTTGCACTTTGGTTTTTCACCCGGGCCTGTTATTGAAATAAGTATATTTCCTCTTGAAGAGGAACACAGAAGCACAACGGAGATTGCGAGTGGGTGGAGGCGGGTGTCAATTATTCATCAATGACACACAGTGCACACAAAGATGTGCGTTCAGTCGGAACCCTCAAAACTCTTTCAATATTAATGAGAAGTATCTCTGTGTGTGTTTGAAACCGTATTCGGAGGTCTATGTTTGCGAGGGTGCACACTGCGCTGCTGTTCTCATTGTAAAGCAACCGACTGAATCAATACGGCAACAATAGTTTCTCACAATTTCAATTCCGCTGCAGCGATCTTGTGTTTGTGTTTAGTCTTGTCCGCAGACGCTTTGCCTCGACCTGTCTGAATTGCATGGAGGTCGCGAGGAGGACGATGCCGGTCTGACTTGTGGTCCGAGGCGGTAATTGAAGGGGCCGCGTGTAAGCAGTGTGCTGCCGTGTGATGGTTGTGTGTCAGCCTGACAAGCTTCTGCTGTCCACCGTGTGTCATTCACAGATACTGGGAACAGGGGTGGGGATTAACAGATAAAGGGACACTCCGCGAGAGCCCGACGATATGTTGGCCTCTTTAACATCCCAGTGTAGAATGTCAATGTGATTATAGAACATTTCAAATTATTGTTAGAGTTTTTCACAACTTATTACAGCTTAAGCCTCTGTGCAAGGAAACTATAAACTTGTAGTCCAACAACAATTAAAAACACATTACACAACAAAAGAACCGAGTGCAGTTCTATTAACTCAACATGGAATCGAGCGAACGCTTGAGAGAGTGTAAGTGTTGTCACAGAGCTGTTTCAGAGCCGACTGCATTGGCCATGTTCAGCGTAATGAAGAAATATTCCACCCGGTGCAACAGTACGACTCTTTTATGTTTTCTTAATAGCTTTTAGATGACAATAAAGCTCTCTGGCACAAAGGAATATGTTATATTAGGCTTTGGCTACACAGATGATGCTTGTTAGAAGCATAAATTCATTTTAGCTTAAAACAATATATATAGACTTCAAAATGTGAGGTTTGTACGTGTGAAGGTGGATATCCATATACCCTGGATACTACATTAGATGTGTGTTTTACAGCAATACGTTGTGAAATGACTTTAGACTAACAGTATGCTGTGGTCCATTTACCTCAGAGTGGGAAAGACCCCTCTGGCCGGTCATCAGGTGAACTGATGGCTGCTTGCCATTGGCAGCCGCAGGACTAATCTGTCCCACCTTTTCATTTTTTTCACCTGCTGTTATGACATTTCCCCAGCAAGCATTCAAAGGCAGCTTTATTGAGGCACATTCCTCAATTTTGACTGCCAGTTCCTCATTTCCACAGAGGTACTTAAGGAGCCATAATGATTATTTGACTGAGTCATGACTGGATGCTTTGTTCTAACGAGAGGGTACGTACAGTTTAGGCAATGTTGGGGGGGGACACGAATAAAGCATTTATTGTTGAAACCAAGTGAGTGGCATCCAAAGGAATGAGACGGCACCTTTTGGGACATGCCTGTTGTTGAAAGATGAAAAACAAACAAGACAAAGAGCGTCCTCTCCAACCCTGCCTCCGGGGTTAGAATGAGTCGCTCAACATGAACTCCTGACATGAAAGGAGGAGGTGGAAATATGCAAAAGAGAGGCAGGAACATGTTGGGGCATAGGGGAAACCACCATGACTTCCTAACAAAACCCCCATGGTAGCAAGTAAACCGCCTCATTTTATTCCCAGCCCTCTCAAGGCAACCGAACCAGCTCTGTGCCAACAAACAACAACAGGCTCACAATGTCAATGCCACTCGGGTTGTCAGGCTCACCTTGTGTAATTAGTGTAATTAGCTAATTACTCAGTATTTGAGCTATTTAGTTCTAAAGCAAATTATTGGACACATATACATTTTTAATATTTGCACTAGACGAAAAGTCTGTGAGTTAGTCCTTTCATTTCCATGAATGCCTGGATCAAATGGCATGGCAATCCATCTAATAACTTGAGATATTTCAGCGCGGAGTGACATTTTCCCCCAAAGGAGCCATGCTACTATAATGGCTAAAAATAATGATGTGATATTAGAGCTTTTTTGCAACATTTTTCTTACACCAGGCGGAACAAAGGAAAAATCGTTACACCCCACAAGAACATACTATAGAGCTACAAATCTTGTAATAAAAAACATAGAAACACCGCTGAGTTCGTACATGTTCCTGCAGCCTGACATCTGCACGGCCGAGGCCTTGTCGTGCGGAGAACCCACACGTGCGCCTAAAAACTGGACAACATGCTTATTGTTTTTGTTCCCGTCCAAACCAATCGCTCAAAACAGAACCTCAGGCCATCCCAGGACATTTTAGTGGGAAATATGAGCCCAATCAATCTGTAATCAACTTCCTGTATGGATTCAGCCAAGATGACAAGATGAGTGGGAATACTCCGGGGCAAAGAAGTAGTTGTGGCCACACACAATTGTAAGTACACACAGAAAGGGAACAGTAGCTCTTTATGGAGAGTGAACTGGGGTAGAGCTCTGTTCTCCATTAGAAGAGGAATGTAATTGCACATGTACAAGAACTGTGGAAAGGAGAGGAGAGCCAAGCTCCATCTCCCTCCGTTTCAACGAGAAAAAAGGCCCACTGTAGACACACACACACACACACACACACACACAAGAACAAAGTGTACAATCACCCAACACATATCCACACATGTGCAGAGCCATTCATCATGCAGGGGCACGAGGAGTGATGGGAATGTAAGCAAATGCCAAGACAAAGCAGTATTTCGCTGGCTTGTCAGCATGATGTGTTTGCTACACGGGGAAGGCTGTGCAAGGATGACAAGTTTATTGAACAAACTTTAAAAGCGTTACATCTCAAAAAACCCTTCAAGTTATCTTTAGAGAATTTAACTTGAAAGAGGCTGTCAGGGACACACTCACCCGTGTTCCACCTTTTGACGTGGGGCAATTCACCCACATTAAGGGAATTGTATCCCTTGGTTGTTTTTTTTGTGCAGTTAGCCGCAAAATGACTCCACTGGCGGGGATCTTTTCCGCATTGCGGCTGTGTTTACATGATCAGTGGGCCGCAGGTACAAGGTTTGTGTGCCAACTCCAAGCACACGGGTCAAACTCAAGATACAGCAGGGGGAACAACTCGTACCAAGTCTCCGCTCCGGCTCCTCTGACACAAAGTCCCCTAACTGGTCCATTTCATCCTGACAGTCTGAGCCACTTTCACGCCATCTTACTGCTGCTTTACCACATCCTGATCAAAAGAGCCAAAGTCTGACCTGACCTGGCCTTGTTACCCATGAGAGGAAATCAATTAACCGCTCATCACTTCTCATCTTCCTTCTGTGGCACCATGAGCCAGATCTCTACTCCTTTTTGACATCTCTCCCATCTTAGCAGGGCAACAGCTTACCAATCAGGCTGAAGAACATTCATCACCTTTCCTAAATAGATCAAAGATCAGATTCCCTTTACGCTTAGGCAAACGTGTAGGGCGCAAATTGAAAACTTAAAACACTGACTTCTCTTCATTGCCACCGAAAAAGTTGCAGCATGCGTCCAGACGCGTTGGTTGTACTGGAAAATGATGCAGATGGACCAAAAAAAAAAGGGTGCAGATCGCTGGCCGACGCCTGGAAGCCCCTTTCTGTTTTTGTGCATGAGTGTGAAGAACAAAAGATAGCGACCACCAGAAGCACTGAGAAAGTCAGATGTAAATGCTGAAGTAGTTGTGTACTTTCTCAGCAGTGGAGATTTATTTTTTAGGCCTTTACATGACGATTAAAAGCACTGACTGATACATAATGAATGATGATGACGGCTATGCATCTTCCTAATTAGTGCAAAACCAATATTTCTTCATTCTGTATTATAATCATTCCTATATTAATTTACACAATCAGTGTCAATACACCATACAGATGCTGCTTTACTGCCATTCTGCTCCGATAAATAGCAGATGCATCCACTTATACTTCAGGGGTAAAGTAATGGAGACTGGAACCATAGACTGACATCTTTTGATTCTGCTGAGCAGCGGAGGTGAGAAATCACTGAAACTGGATGGTCAGCGTTACACTGTCGCTCCTGTCACACTAGCTTTAACAGCTCTTTCAAATAGAATGACCCACACACACCTCTATTGTACACAAACCCACACCCTACACACACACACACGCCACAAAGGGATTGAGTCGTAAAGAAAGGCTTTTCTGCTGAATGTTGCAGGGGCTGTGCTGTGGAGGTCAACGGGGACAGAGGCCTGAATACAGATGGACTGCAAGACCAAAGGGGCTGTGATAAGGCACCGGAGAGGGCACGGGGGTCCAGAGCGAATGAGGAGGGAGAGGGAAACCAAAGGAGGGAATGATGTGGGCCACACACAGCGCCGGTAGCCACTGGGAGATAACACACGGTGCCCGAGTCATTTCATTCATTGTCTATTTGGAGACAGAGAGAGATGCCCAGTGCTCCCCCCTGGCTCTCTGATGTAAGAGCAGCTATGTGGGGCTTCCCCCCAAGATGAATTAATTATGGCTGTCAAAATAAACGCGTTAATATATGCGATTAATGTGGCTGAGATGAATAAAATAAAATGAAAAAATGTTAACGTAGTTAACGGAACTTTGTTTACTTCCGCGGTGTCGGGAAGTAAACAAAGTTGACCCCAGATACGAAACCGCCGCTAGCTGCAGTCAGTTAGACAGGAAAGGCTGAGACGGCTTTTTTCATTGGCAGTAAAACAAACATACAGCGAGGAAAAGTGCAGAGGAATTCCTCCTTGTGTCAAACCGAAGGGGGGTGAGCGGCAAACGGACCACTTTACGCACCGCTAGGCAAAGCGATCTGCTGGGCTACTTCCATCTCAACATCTGCCCTGCTGAGGACCACCACTGTGGCCCTAAAAAACGGTGGTTTGGAAAACGTCCGGGCTACGTTTTGGCAGCCCGACAAATGATGGAGAGTTGAGAGCACAGCACAGTGCGCGAGGACAGCAGCAATTCTGCCTGATCAAATGTGTGTAGTTTTGTCTTTAAAATACTACTAAACAACAGTGTCTAAAATACATGCTTTCTAAAGTGATTACTCATTACTTGTTAGATTTAGTCAATTGATCGCAATGAATGAATTTCAAAATGTGCAACTCATTTGTTGTTTTTTTCAATATATTAAGCGCCGCAGTATTAATATGATACGGTGTTGTGATGTTTTGACAAGCTTACAAATAATACATCTGTTAACGCATAAACAAAGGTGCAAATTTAGCCTCATCATGGACAGGCATTGTATTACATGCACTAAATAAATTAAAGCTCTATCAAAGCTTTCATAGTATTTATAGACATGCTAAAATCCCGCTGCTTGACTTTCCCCTGTGAAGATGTACTGATCACTGTTTTTCAGCAGTTATTGGTCCTCTAATAATAAGTTTCCTCCTCAGAGACACTGTGTACTTTAGAGAACCATTAGCTCAACAGTTTAAACTCTGTGTGACAATGGAAACTCATGGCAAAATATAGTGCACCAGGAGAGCACTGTATCACAATCCGAACAAATGGGTTGATCTAATATCACCTGCCTGCTTATTCTGTCTTAGCTTGTCAGACTTCCTATATCTAATTATATGCATAGAGGATTTCCTGTATTGAACAGCATCACCTCACAGGCTCCAGTTCCATCTTGGTCCGTCTGAAGAAAAATGTTATTATTTGGGCTGTGCTACAATTAAATGTGCAAAAAGAAACATGAAAGACACATGCTTTTCTTTTGTAACTAGCGTAATGAACCGCACACGCACTATTTTCTGATTTAGAATAAGTTGAAGCTTTAGTAGTAACGCACCAGTTGTTCCTTGGGAATCAAACGGTTTCATTACTTTCTAAAATATTGCATTACAAAAACTATTTAATTTACATTTTATCGCAGCACAGAGGCCAGTTGACTATACAGTAGATAAGCTTGTCTTTACAAACACAGTGACACACCCAAACAAGCAAAAAAATAGCAGCAATATTGTCTTTGTCCTCTAATTGAAACTATTCTTCTGCTGTCTCTCTGGCGTCCTCTTGCCCACAGAGACTGAAGCCAGTGCCACCCCGGTGTGCCTTTTGTCTATGTGCCAACGTGTGCATGTGTTTGCCTCCGAGGCTGCTGAAGCCACTGAGCATATTAAGGACCTGTTTACTCAGCTGAGGCTACATCTCCCTTCTTCCTAGTACACAACCTGTGTAAAGGGACCAGCAAAGACAACTTTCATTGTTTGAGAAGAATCGGCCGGACTAAGTGTCTCTTTTTACAGCTTACCATAATAATAAGGACAGAGCGACCTTTTCGGATGAAGAGCAACCAGAGACGTTCTTGCCTGAGCTCATCGTGGAGCTTGATCTTTAGTCGTCTTTTATCCCTCCGGCGAAGACCGCTACTGATACAGCTACTGACGCCCACAGCGTAATGACACAGCGGCTGTGTGGTACGGCAGCCGTTTTATTTCTCCTTATTCCGAGCACTTGCCAGTTAACAAACTGGAAACTATTCTTGCGTGGGATTTGAAACAACTCCTCTGTCAGTCAGAGACGAGCCCTGTTTCATGTTTATTAATTGAGAATAAGCAGTAGAGGAATCACGAAAAGTTTCTCGCTTCACAACACGTGCTTTCTTTTTGGCAAGCCGCAAAGGCAGCAGAGAACGTAACAATTAGAACAGTCTTCAAACCCTGCTTTCTGCATCAAAGCAAAACATTTTGATATTTATCGCCAATTCACTTCACGTTTTTGCAGTTATTTTTCCGAAGAAGGACGGGCTCTACAGGGACAGAGACAGTTGGGCACACGACACTCATTCCATTCCGTTACAGATCTGTTAATTAGTGCACAAAATGGACTCGTTTTCCAGAGCCAACTCGCTCTCAGAGACATGAGTGAAATACTTCTGTGTGTTTGCCTTGGCACAGCGCTCGTGTTGAACTGCCCAGTGAACCAGATCCTTATCAGACACAAACAACCCGCCCACGCTCAGCGCTGCAGCTCGCCTCGAGTGATGTCGGGTCCACCGAGTGTCTGTTTTATAAGGTGATCCAAGCAGTGTGTGACTGGCTCGCTGGCCGAGGACAGAACGCTGGTCTCTTTGAAGTCCCGCCCCGACACAGCGACCCTGCAGTTGACTTTGAGACCAGTGACTCACGGTGGGGCAACAGGCCGACGCACAAACAACAGCATCACTGCGGTGTGTCATCAGTGGCTTTTTACAGGAAGTGAGGCAGACTGTAGCTGGCAACTGTGCTCTCGGTAAATTACAGACTCAGTGTTGCTCTTTCTTTCATCAGTTTCTGTTTTTGCGACTGTGAGTGCATGTGTCTCGTCATCGGCGGTATGCAGACTGAATAGGGTTAAATGTGTAAAGAAGGGTGTGATGATCTTCTCGGTGTCGAAGGCGTGCGTGCCAAGATTTTCCCCTTAACAGCTGCACCTGTACACATACAATTGAGGGCTCCGTCATGCTCTTTGTATCTCTTGTCATTCCAGCTGTCTCCGTCTGCTTTGCAAAGCGCCCTTTTTTTCCCCCCCCTGCTCCTCTAGATGTCTACAGTTCAGCCTACCTGGCCACTTTCCTGTCACTCAGTTTTAATTGTCTAGCTCAGTATCTGTTCCTCTCCGTGCAGACCCCTGCCTTGACACGAGACACTCCCTTCCCCCGTCATGGCGTGTCGTGCGCCGTGTCTTCTTCGGCACCCAAGGGCATAGTCCTTTTATTGGCGATGTTTAATCTGCATTGTGTGCGGCCTGTGTAACGGCCCCTTGGCCGGGCCAGGTGAGAACTGGCAGTGCGACTTATCGTTAGTACGTCAGTGAGACTGACATCAATGTCTCTATATCTCCTTGTTAAGTGCGGCCTGTCACACCATCGCTGCACGCACACAGACAGACACACACTTTCGCTCTTTAAATAAATCATTTTCTTGAGAAAATTCTCGTGGATGTACATACCTCCCACGAGGAACATCAACGTCGTCTTTCCTCCAGCGTATATTCGGCTGAGGGTCTCCTTGTACTTGGCATCGGAACTCCACCGTCTCCTCCTCCAGGACAACCTGATTGATGGGCCTCCGGAGGAAGGTCGGTCGCTCTGCAGGACGGGCACAGAGGATAGAAATAGATGTTTTAAATGTAATACAGTGGGTCAATTCCAGTGTGGGAATATAAAGTGCATGTATCTGTCAACTCACTTTATTTTCACTCAAAGAAATCTGATCATTACCCCTTTGTAGTCATATACGATCTCTTCTACTGCCATTATAGGGACAGAAGAAGTTTGCTTATGACTTTATGAATCCTGATCTTTAGAAATCAAATTCAGATCTCAGTTAGAGGGATATTCAGTGAATGATAATGTACAGGGACATATGAAAGTTACATGAGTGAGGAGATAAAAGCTGCAGGAGGACTGGAGGAGTAACACTCACCGAACACTGTGACCTGTGCCGTCTCGCTGTCCCTCTCTCCGACCATGTTGGTACCCACACAAATGTACATGGCAGCATCGCTCTTTCTTGTGTTTGAGATCATTAGCTTCCCTCCTCGAATCTACAGGGAAAAAAGGGAAATTCACCAATAAAACCTCTTGTTTTTCACTCCCCATATGCACTGAGGCAACAGAGGAACAACCCCTCACTTTACCTCCAACACGGGAAAACACCAGAACCAAAAGTTTTTTTTATTTTTGTGCCCAGGGACAATAACGTATTGGGTCCGGTTATTAAAACAGATGGTAAAAGTACTCACGGTGATCCTGTCGTCCTTGTCATCAATTCGCACTTTGTCTTTCTTCCAGTAGATGGTGGGTTCAGGATGGCCTCTGGGAGGAACACACTCGAGGATGGCTGGCTCTCCTGCTGCCACCACCACATCTGACGGGTTCTGTCTGAAGTCATCTCGCAGCACTGAGGAGGGGAAAAAAAAAGAAGAGAAACGTTTCATAACGAATGCAGTTTTCTCTGGATATAAATGCTGAAATGTTAAAGTCCACGCATTTTTTTTTAAAGTCTTCATATGTGCGTGCACGACACAGTGTGAATGTATGCCGCTCTCCTTGTGGTTCATTTAAATGGGATGTGCAGCTTGATCTGACAACGCAAGCACAAGTGAAAGCTAATTGGAGCTAATGGAGGTCCCTGTGGAGGGAGCAGAACAAACACAAACAGAATGCCCTGAAGCCTGGTGTCACTCACATGTGAGAGCTCACCATGGTGCAACACTGCTTCACTATGCTAGCATGTACACACACACACGCACACGCACACACACACACACATAACCCAGATACGTGCTAATGCACACAACAAAAGACACAGGGTGGTCTGATGAACAACTGCGGCCTTGTATCTAATTGCCTTCCCTCCCAGAGATAACCTGTTAACCCAATATAGTGTTCAGCAGAGAAAAAACAAACACCAGCTCGTTATCAAGCGTGGAGAGCTGCTGTCCCACACAAACACACACGTATGGAAACAAACACATACTTAACTTAACCGGGATAGAACCTCCATCCCATTGATAATACCCAATGTGATAAAAAGGGACAAACTGGGGTCACGCTGACTCTCCTGCTGGGTGTACTCAAACAGATCCCTCTCCATTTGATCTCCAATAAATCTAATCTGCGGAATAGTACTTTAGGAATTTCAGCTGCAGCAGGGTCCACCCATGCGCCATCGAGGGGGACGTGATTCCTCTGAAGGATAAAAGGACTGAGCTTATTGTGTGGGCGATGCTTGAAGATGCTTGAGGAGGGCTAAATTAAGGGCAGCGCCACAGGTCCTTATGTAAATTCCACGTAGCACTGGGGACAATGGTGGGGAGGACCAGGATTATGAAAGCGGATAACTGGTCCCTGCGCTCCATGCTTCTCTCATCCTTTCATTCAATCGCCTTACCCTCGCTGCAGAAAGCCGCACAGCCATTGTCTTCTTATTTATTTATTTAGACCAAGGGAAAGAGAGGATGCTTTCAACCCAATTATCCTGGGGATGTACTGGGATACAGAGTGGGACTTTTGTGTGACATGAATTCTAATGGAACCTTTGCACATGGGTAATAGGGGAGAATACAGAAGGGGCGACGGTTTTCTCTGTCTTAGGCAGAGCTGTCCTATAAGAGCTCAGGTAATTAGCCATATCCAGCACGGCGGACCCCCTGGCCAGGGTGGGCATAACAGCCACCACTGCTGGGGTCTGTATTTGCATTACAAACAGGCGTCCCGCAGCTTGAAATCATAGCCAGGGTTGGACCATACACAGACTGTTTTTCAGATTGAGTCGGATGTAATTGCTCCTTTCCATTCATTGCTGATAGCACCCACGGGATTTTGTGAAAATCAATTTCCTTTGAAACGGAACAGTGACAAAAGAAACACGCGTTAGGTGCATCATTAAGGCGCGTGTGCCATGTAGTCTAATCTGAATCTAAAACTGCGCCGTCCGTCACAGTAAATGCAGTTCTCTGAACAGATAAATGAGGGGAGGGGCCAAGCGAGATACACATTAGTGCACTTTCTAATCCTAACCACAAGGTCATCAACGGCAACCTCCTACGGTTAAAGCACACACACACACACAACACATCTACACCCAAATCCAATATGCATCCCCCTTTGCTTCACTGATGTATGAGCATGTATCTCTTGGTGGCTGCAGGAACCTCTGTGGGCTCAACTACCCTTAGTCAGGGACCATAATGCAAGTAAATCACGCCACGACTGTTTCCTACGTTAGTCTATGTGCAGTCTGATATGTGTGTATCATTAAGTGGTTCTGGCGTATTTGCTGTCAGAAACTGAACTCCGGCTCCAACGCCGAGGCCCTGTAGGCATTCAAACCCGAATCTTCCAACAGACGTGAGGTAATTGCCTTTCTATTCCCCTGAAACACTCAGCTCTTCTTTCGCTGAAAACATCTCACCTCCCAGGGAATTTTAGCCGAGCCCAAACTCTGTCTCTCGTCTTGCTTACTTGCTGATTAATATGTATATATTTCAACGTTTACACCCATCTGCTCCCAATTGCTACAGCTGTCAATCCGGCTCCGGGCTAAAAGGAACCCGTATCTGAATAATATTAATCTGCGCTTGCCCCTCGGATTGTATTTTTATTTATTTATTTCCCAAATATCAGGAGAGTGGGCTGACTTGAATGGAGGAGCATCAGGCAGGGGGGTAAAGCATGGTACAGCTGGCACTGTTTCAATACCTTCAACCTCTGGCGGAGGGAGTCAGCTTGCAGTGTGCAACCGTGAAACAGCCGAGGGGTTCCGAGTGGAGGTCTTTGCCAAAGAATATGAACACAAAGGGAGACACCCACACAGTTACTTTGTAAACCAGGTTGTCCTACTTTGGCAGGGGAAGGCTATGCCAGCAACCATTAGGGAGGTCCGCCTGTCTGTGCGTGTAAGTGTGTGTCTGTGGGTTCCGACCAGAGATAGACTCTGCACACAAAAAAGAAATCCGCCCGATGCGGATAAACGACAGCACAAACGCCCGCCACCACGGCGGAGGGCGAGGACAGGTGAGGAGAGATATTTTGTTCAGTGCACCCTTTCCCCACTCCCACCCAAGATATTACTCACCGGAGGGTGACACCGCGTGCCGGTGAGATTAGTGGAGAGCCTTGACTGAAGCGTCCAGCCTGCATACTGAGATAAGTGCTGACAAATGCATTCACCTACAGGAGCGCACCTTGCATTGGTTCACGAAAGGTTGCGCTCACGCCACAACACCACAGACTGATGTCCTCCGTTCTGACATTCACATCACTTTGGTACACACTCACCTCACACTCAAGAAAGGTATCCACATACCCGGCGAACTACAAATGTCTCTCAAAAGCTGCAGGGCGTGGTATTTTATTTGTAATACTGCAAATGCGGATGTTTGTGTATGTTTGCGTGGTTGTTGGTACATTTCTCTCCCTATTTAATGCAGTGAAAGACCCTCCGTGCTTTTATACTCCTGGGTCAGGGGCTAAGAAACCCAGAGAGAGAGAGATTGCAGCAGCTAGTAGCCCGAGGTCATACCTCGGCACCTAGGCCAACCACCTCCTACCCACACTGATTAGAAAATAAACCATGCACAGACACACAGAACCTCGGAGAGCCGCAGAGAGGTTGCTCCAAGCTATAATATCATTTTGTTCGAGTGCTTTTTTGTGCACTTCATCCGGCAAAGTGCTATTACAATTCCGCCATTTTCAATTCCACCCTGAGAGAAAAGAGACAATATATATGTCACTTGACAAAACATACCAAATCCACTCTATTCGCTGTCATTGGTGTTTTGTATTACTGTTGACGCTCAAGGCAGAAGAAGGATAAAGCCACACTATATATTACTACGCTGTGAAAGGAGATGTGCCCCATTTGTCTGGATGCAAGATGTTTCTCCGGGTCTGATTCGCTCATTTGCCCTCCCACCGGCAGCTAAGCCCTCCTTCCCCCCCCTCCACTCACACCCAGATGCAGAAATTACCCCCTCAGCAGGCAGGCAAGCAGCAGGTTCACACATATCCCCCATATTCCTCCACTGAGGGGTTGGAGGTCAGACCGGAGAAACAGCTGCACAAATATGGCTGGCTGGCGTCGCCCAAGGCTGTACCTCCTATGAGAACCGAGACTCTCATCATCAGCACATCGCATTACCATCTCTCTCTATCCGTCTTATTCCCTCATATCAATATCGGAGGTCATTCTCAGTCTTTTCCCTTTTCCTCCAATCCTATTGCATTGTCCAGTGCCCCCTCCGCACGCTTTCAACGTGCTTGTCAGGGCTTTCACTGCTGCAGACTGCAGATGAGGTTTTCCAGATGAAGTATACATGCACACCCGATCATCCCCCATAGACTTTGGCCGAGCCTGATATGATCTCCACCACCATTCACCCTATCTGGAAATCCGGAGCCAAGGGATGTAAATAACACTGTCACTTTCACAGATAAGGTGAAAATATGGAAAGCAACCATAGTGGGGGGATATCACAGGTGCCGAGACCATATTAAATAGTCGTCTTTAATAAAGACTTGTATGGAAAAAAAGAGGAAGAGACGGAGCGTGTGAGATCTGGCAAGAAGGCATAACAGGGGATGAGGAAAGGGTGTCTAATCAAGGTCAGAGTGAAGCGGAGTACAAAGGTGCTGAATAAGTGGGGCTGAATGTAAACAAAAAAGCGATAAAAGGCACCTCTGAATCACTAGACAAGCCTAAACAAACATCCTTATTCAAACAGCAGCCGCGTTCAAAGCTCATTTTCCTTTCAAGCAGCACCTATAATTTGGCCTAACAAGCCCATGGGCAGAACAATAACGACAGTCAGGCCACAGTTCTTCTGGCCGACCCGGGAAAAATGTGTGTCGTTCCTAAGAAACAATACAATTGACTCTTGATGAACCTCTTTGCTTTAACAATTCCAACACACACATACACACATACCCCCTCTCTCACACACACACACACACACACACACACACACACACACACACACACACACACACACACACACACACACACACACACAATTCAATTTAGTCTAATCCATGCTTTATGGTAATGTATAGCTCATTAAAATGTTAGTTAAAAACTCATTAAAATTCACTTGAAGAAGTAATGGCTTCATTACAGTAATATGCTGAAAAGCAAAGAAAAAGACAAGGACAAGGAGAAGAAAGAGAGCAGAGAGCGACAGCTTTCTAATCACTTAATTGTCTCTAAAATGGAATACATTTGCATAATAAATAACGATGCGCTGTATCCTCCATTCTATCTCCCTCCTCACAGCACTCTGTGATTAACCGCTACAATTAAAGATGCATTTTACCCCAAAAAATGATTTTGGTGGCCACTCCAGTTTTCACTCTGTTGTCTTGTTTATGGTCTCGAATGTGTTTGCGGGGCTTGGC